TCCCCATCGAGTAGTGAATGGGACAAATGTCTCCCTGCAGGCACATGGCAGACAATTTGTCTCAAATCCAGCGGGTGTAACTAATAAAATTCATCCGTTGCATAATACTCTGTTTGATTGAGAAGCAGTTAATTTGATAAAACTTTGGTATCACTGCATCGAAAGAGAAACGAAAATCTCAGAACAGTACTGTAACGAACTATCGACCTTTTATATATCACGCTTACACATAGACTCGAATGACGCAAAGTTAACGAAAATAATATTAAGTTTACGAGAAATACGAATACATTATCGGTACAAAACCTTGTATACTGTAGAAGAGCGATATTATAAGCTTGTAGCAATAGCAATTTTTCACCTGGTTGGTTCCAGAACCTCTTTTGCCACGAGAAGAACCAACTTTCTCGTGGTGTTGACACGTCGAAGGGAGTAGCCCAGAACAAGCGCGCCATTAGAGTAACTGTTGTTGGTGACCAGGCTGACGAAAGCCTCGTCCTCAACGACCTCTCCAGGCATTTAGAGGCTTCTTGACAAACAGGAAGAAGGAAGAAATATTGATAATTCGACGAGTTTCACTTCCTACAAATGACAACCGCACATGAACTTGCACATGACTCTACAATGATCTGTTTGGCCAACCGGCAGTAACCGATGCGCCTTTTTTCTGTCCACTCTAGAAAGTAACTTTCAGTCCCCCAGTAGGGAGGCAGCAGAACCATTTCTAAGCCGGAAAAAGACGAACGTGCTCCGAAGTATCTCCGGAGATTTCCGAGTTTTGCCGCTACCCTAGATAGTAATATCTTTGCAATTCTGAATCGAGGCTCGGTACTCGTAGCAACCAAACTTGACTTCATTGATGTTTGGCTTTGTGAAGTTGACTCTTTCACTTCTTCGGTTATTTTTTGCCGGCATTCTGCTAAAGTTAAGGGAACCCGGCTAGTGGAAAAGTAAAAGCTGGGATATTTTTTTTTTATTCCAGGTAAACAGGCCAGCACCCATGTCGTATTCAGCACAGTTTAACACGGACTTTCTTGTACAATCAACTTGAATTCCTGAACTCAGCTGGCAAAAATGAGTGAAAACAACAATAATGAAAAGGTCCCAGGAGAAGAGCAAATACCACGACCGGATTCCAGCGCTTCTTCGGTAATAAGCCGAACTAGCTCTCCAGAACCATGTCCATTGAAAGACGACGTTTTCTGTGAAGAAACACAAGTTAGCCCAGAACAGCTCTCGGCCGACATGGCAGCCAGAGGTATTATTAACCCCAGAAATAAAATTTCAGGTTCCCCTCCACAATCTGGGATACGTGGAATGTTGATAGCTGCATGTGATATTGAAACAAATACTGTCGAAGAAACCCAAGCAACAAATAAATCTGATTTACAAGAAGAGGAAAAGACTGAAAATGAACAATTATTATTGGATAAGCATGCAGTGTCTGAAAGGGCAGCTGACAAAAACGAGACGGTACCACAAGAAATGTCTTTCTTTAACAAAGACTCATCTACAAGTAGGCCGTCATCTGTAAGTTCATCATCATCTGTAGGAGAAAGAACAAATAGGCGAGAGGTTTGTTTTCAAGATTCTGAAGAGGATCATTTGCTGCAAAAAGAGAGAAGTTTTATATCTCATGCTGAGAATACAACTATAGAGGTAGTGTCAATATCTACTCAAACAGAATGGAGTTGGCTGAAAGATATGGAGTTGTATCAAGAAATTTCACATAGATCTAAGCCTGACTGGGCTGAGAGAACAGACACAAAACTTTCTAGAGAAGTACCAAAATCACCATCAGGTAATGTTACGGTTTTGTGACACTGCCTGGATCAGCGCCGATAGTTTACTCCCGGGAGGGGGACTCCATATAAAAATGACAGGGGTGCTCATCGGAAATTTTGAAAAGAACCGTTTTAGGCCAAACACCCGAAAAAGTACCAAACCTGCTTTTTTTACCCCTAAAGGTACAACAAGCACCCCCCGTCTTTTTTTATATGGGAGTCTCCCTGCGCTGTTTACAGGCTCACTGTTTTTCTCTCTTTGACAGAAGAGAAAGCATTAACCCTCACAACTTGGTATAGTGCTGAGTACAGCAGTAGTCCTTAGTGTAAACAGGAGAGTCTCACACATTTTTCAGGAGCATGCTAGGAGTGGCATGGTGTAAAATGTTCAAAAGTGAAAAAAGAGGATGAAGCTCAGATGATTATTTTTTTGCTAGGCATGTCCATAGTGGTCTCCTGCATTGTAAGGCATGGGTCAGATACTTGTAGTAACAGAAAACAGCATAATATGCTTTGAGTTTTCATTCCTTCACTATTGTCTCCCACCTCCATTCAAGTTCTCAAGGAAATTATTATTCAATACAATAAACTTGTTCAATGATGCAGACCACACAGAATTCATTCCCGAAAATACTATCTTTTAGCAAACAGCCATGGCTCGGTCAAAAGACGAAGAAGGAAATCAGTACCAGGAAGAAGAGCTTCGGTAAGCAGTGATAAGGGACAGATGAAAGATGAAGACACTGTACCCCTACCAGATGTAGAGGAAGGAAATGAGGTGAAACAGAGCCACAATGGAGTAGAAGAAGGTGTGAAAATAAGGGTGTACACATGTACAAATTTTTATTTTTAATAATAAAATTAATGATAATCTACTCAAAACACATACAGATCATTGGGTTACCTGAAGCAAAGTTTAAGTCCAAACCTTCCTAATGATTAGATGAGCCATCTGCCTAAATAGAACCTGCAGTCTACTATAACTCCCTTTACTGTAGCACTTGATGACTTGGAGTATTGCTATACCCCTGGATAGGTTTTTCTTGGCTGTCAGAGGTTATACCCAGAATATTTGTCAGGTTCCTGGTAATGACCGTTCTCCAGTATCCACTAAAACGTTGGGTCTTGTAGACTCTGAATCCAGATGTCTGGGTTTAAGCACTGGCCTGGGTCATTGGGTGTTTTCCATTATGCCAAAGATTCCGAAAATTTTGGTTGGAACTCAAATGGAAAGGTCTGTTTTGGTTTCTTCCAACTAGAATATTTGGGATCACCTCTGGAGGTGGTCCACTTATTTCAGTCAGAATATTTCGACCGAAATTCGCTGTTCCATTTTTGACAAACCGGTTGAACTTTGTCCTAATTAGGGAATTTGGAAAAGGAATAAAAAAATGGCAAGAACCATTTGTATTTGTTGGCCCAGTTTAATTGTAAAATGTTGTTCCATTTTTCTTGGGTATTCCAACTGATCTCTGACCGGTCGGTTTGGCATAATGGAAAGCACCCATTGTGTTGTATTTTAGGCAAGAAACTAAACTCTGACAGTCCCTCCCTTAACCCAGCTGTTTAACTGCATATTGGCTAATTAAATGCTTGACTTCAGTACCCCATCCAGAGGGGAGTGGAAATGCTGTTGGTCACTGCAATCTTCAGAAACTGGAGTCAAGTGCATGCCTTGTCAGTCATCTATGCTTTAAGTCTGATTGAGAACTGGATCAGAGAAAGAACTAATTTCCTTGCTCCTTACATATTAGGAAGTACAGGAAGAAGCAAATCAAAGTCATCAGGCGGTGTCCCTAGATCTCGTCAATCTGTGGTGTCTTCATTACCGCGAACTCCCAAGGGAGAAGACATTCTATTTCGACCACCCACAGTTGAGCCGGACTCAGCTAGCAGTTCAGAAGAATATGAAGATTATGACCTTGAACAGGAATATCTGTTACCAAGTATTGGACCTCCAGCAATCCTTCAGTACATGAAAGAGTCACAGAACCCTCCGCTATCAAATGAAGAAGTTCAAGATAGACAAGAGCTTGCCAAAAATGAGATGTTAAAGATGAGCAGTTCTAGTGGACCATGCATGTTTTGTCAACAGGAAGTACTGCCATTTCCAACCTTGGATGAGTTGGAAAGACTTACTCCAGATCAGGTAATGAGTTGTTTTAATGAATTGAAAATGAGTTGCTTTCACTAAAAATGATAATAATCATTTCTTTTTTTTTTTTTAATTTTATTTATTATCAATAATGATGATGAAGGTAGCGAGGAACAATGAGAAAAATTTCAGCTGTCAGTATAGTTACATGAAACTTCTGTCCTGTTAAGAGATTATTGATCACTTCTAAACTTTTCTTGGCCAGTCTTTGTAACGGATAGTCAAGACTCAGTGTATACCTTGAATGACTGGTTTCATGTTGTCGTTGTTGTTCAATGTTGATTATTTTTATTTCTCAGTCACGACAGGTCACTATAAAACAGCAATTGCTGGACTTCTAAACAAGATTGTTAAAATTGACTTCTACTTAATCTTTTCTTCAGCTTTACTGCTGTCCTCAATATGAACGCTTGATAAAATTTGAGTTAGCGCAGAGAACAGACAAAGCTCATTTGGTGGACGAAATGATTGATATAAAGCCCCACCCACCCTATGGAACCAAAGCTGCGAGAAGAGCTGCAAAGGAAAGAGCAGCAGAACGAGCAAGGGAACGGGAAATGGAGAGACAAAGGGCAGCTGGAGCTAACCCAACCAATTTCTACGCATGTAAGTACCACAGAACTGACCCCACTCAGTTTTAAGTTAATGTTGTATTCAAAGACCTTTGATTTGAGCCATGAGGACTATGATTATAAGAGCTTCGTGTCATTTACATCTTAGGCTGCAAAGTTCTGTTTGATTTGTTATTAATTTTGCCCTTACATTTTTTCAGTGTGAAGTTTTCTCAATGCAAAGTCATATCCAAATCTAAGTTTAACCCTTTTCAGCGTAAGCAAAATCCTGAAAATAGAAACCTTTTGAACAAAATATTTATTGACCCCCCCCCAAAAAAAAACAAAAAAAAAAAGGCCAAGGTTTTCCTCATTTCTTTAAGATTTTCATTGTGAAAAGCCAACTAATCTTTATACAATCATTCTATAAAAGAGTCCTCAGCACATTAAATAACAACTGTTTTATTCTGTTTTTTACTTAGTAACACGTCAAATGAAGACCATCACATACTCATTAGCATCTACAAAGTGTATGGAGGAAGGCTGGACTGTGCGTCCTCCGTCACCATCACTGACAGATGATGAACAAATTCATGACCCGTTTGTGATTGAAGTGAATCCTCTTCAACTGGTAAGTGCACTTACATAATCACTTTTTGAGTTTCTGTTTCCCTACAATTTCTTTAGACACCTGGCCCAGGTTGTTTGAAAGGTGGTTAATGCTATCCTATGGATAAATCACTATCCTGTATATAGCATGGTTTGTTTTGTTAGCACTCATCCAGTGGATGGTGATTTATCCGGTGGATGGCATTATCCAGCCTTCGAACAACCACGGCTTGTCCAAAACTTACTGTATTCCGGAAAGGTTAAATTCTTTAGTGTAAGATTTATTCACCATCCTTTTACTGCTTCTCAGGCAGACAGTGTTCTACAAACAGTGGGGAAGTTTTTGACCAAAATTTATTGATTTAAAAGGTGACGTCTACCTTCGAGCTCAGTGGCCCATCAGGCCTCTCTTTTTCTCTGGTTTCTATAACATGAACTGACTAGGAAATTTCTACTCTACCCTGAATAGGATGCTAGTCCATCACACGGTTAACCCCAGCATTAAAATTTGTCGTTACTTTTTTAAAACACGTGGGTGAAGAGAGGCATTGTCAGAGTAAAGTGTCTTACCCTAGAACACAACTCGATGACCCTGAGTAGGGCTCAAAACCAGACCACTCTGTCCAGAGTCTTGGCCCTGGTTGTGCCCTGGAGAGGGNAAGAGAGGCATTGTGAGAGTAAAGTGTCTTGCCCTAGAACACAACTCAATGACCCTGAGTAGGGCTCAAAACCAGACCACTCTGTCCAGAGTCTTGGCCCTGGTTGTGCCCTGGGGAGGGGGGGGGGTATATAGGTATGGTATGTGCGGCCCCAAAGAGTTTGGTTTTTCAGCCGTTTTGACCATAAATAGGGTATCGATTTGGCTATTTTGCTCTTAATTAGGGTATGGTTTTGGTACTCTAGTTTTGAATTGGGTATGTGTTTTAGAAGAAGCTACTCTTTCATCATTATCAATAAGACCATAAACAAAAGCCCTTCAAAAATTATGTCTAGGGCAACTGTGTCGGCCACTATGGTCACAAGTAGGGGATCAAATTTTTGGCCTGGTCATTAATAGTGAAAAGAAAAATTGCAGATTTTAGTCGTAAATAGGGTAAGGGTTTTGGGAAGTGGGCCACACACCCCCAGCAATTTTTTCAGATAAATCGTTATGCAGTGGATGAGTATTAAAGAAACAAACCACACTATCCACTGGATAGTGAATCATTTATTTGGTGGATAGCGTTATCCACCTTTCGAACAACCTGGGCCAGCACACTAACCATTGGGTCACTACCCCTACCTTTATGGTTTACCTTGTTGAAATTCCCTTACAGAGGAAGCAAGCATTCCTGGAGAGATTTTATGAAAACAAAAGAAGATTTCTTTTGCTGCTCCCAGATGGCACTGGAAGCTGCTAGTATCCTTTTGTGAAACTTTAAGGGTGGCAATTTTCTGTTTAATGTGAAACTCAAGTGTACAGTTGGCCAGACAAGTATATCAGATACCAAGTCTTACAAAATGCTCTTGGATTTTGTGGCTGTCTTTATGTTCATTTGAAACTCGAGAAATTCAGGGATGGAAACAGGAAATCAGGGGGAGGGGTCTTAGCAATTGGCATGAAAAGCCGGAGGGGGAGCAGGCGTACCCCTCCCCTGTACCTGCTTTTGGAAAAATATTTAAAAGTCAAGGTTCACCGAGATGCTATTGCTTTCAACTGAGTAACTGTAAGGCTTTGAATGTAAGATCTAAAACAACACAGACAATAGAAGGGGGCTGTGATTCTCTTAGCTTGTCAAAATCTGGTTGAGAACTTTAAGCAGAGGGGAGGGGTGTTAATAGTCAGAGGTGTACACCCTGAAAGTTACATGGTTTGAAAAAGTATGTTGCATAGGGGTTTCACTCAGCATTGCCTTTCATACAGCCTTGGTGTCCATTCATCACATGGATTCTTTCTTAACTTCATATCTCAGTTACCCAAGCGGTAACATTGCTGTGATGATAACTGCTACCGAAAAGGGAAAGTTTACATACATAGTATTTGATGTAAGTATACGTATTTATCTCGGTCACTGGGTGCAGAAGCGGTAAAGAACAAAGTTTTAGTTTTGTTACTCGAGTTTCGTTGCATAGCAACGAATTTGGAACGAGCAATGAGCCCGCAGTTTTAGTAGCGGCCGGAAAATTTCGCGCGTCAACGAAGACACGTGACACGCATGTCGATGACTCAACCACCATCAACGGTGGCAAAAGAGAGAGAGAGCGAGCCCGGGAACGAGGTTGGTCGATGACTCCGCACTCTTGGAAGTAAGAAGGGGATAATACAAGGTGTAAACGAAAGGGGAAAGCAACAAAGACTTAGAGGTCGCTAGGAAAACCGATGTTATTGGCAAAATTCCTTTAGCGAAAAGTGGCCGATCATTCGGTTTCAAGCTTCTTTAAGTTTTTGTTTTTCTTGAGTTTCTAAGCAGTCCAAAATATATTCTTTAGCGCTTCCTTGTCACGTAATTTGTCATTCAACAAACCTTCTTTCGTGCAATAAATTTAATAACTGTTTTCAAGGGAAATCTACCAATCAAAATAGACTTATAAAAACCGTACTTCCTGTCTTCCAAACCTCAGCGTTTAAGCAAATTGCATTGTCTAAACGAAGTGTCACAGCGCCTTGTATTGGTATGCAAAAACACTTTTCTTTGTTCATGTTTACGATTAGTGTAATTTTCCTGAATATCTGTCTGTGTACGTGAGTACAAAAAATTAATATTTTGCTGTGGACAAATGGAAAATAACACTATTAATTTAATTTCAGAAATCCCGAAAATCATTGTTAAACTTTAATAGGAAAATCCTTTTGTTTTAGCTATCGGCGCGATTATCGGCTCTAAGTTGGGTTGTACTTTTTAATCTTCCATAGTTTTAGTTTTAATTCTCCTGAGTGACAGGAAAATGTTAAGAAAAGACCACTGTTTGCTCAGCACCAGCTATACAAATACGAAAACTGATCTGAGATGACAAATTTTAATAAAAAGCTTTAATTCCTAAGTCGCTTAATCGCGGCTCTGATCGCATAGTTTAGGAAACTTAATCAACTTGTTAGTTCTGTACTGAACAGTGGTGAAAAACGATATTTGAAAACACTTGGTCTAACAAAGGAGATATGTGACATTTGCAGTGTCTGAAAGAAACAGGAAAAAATATGAACAACGAGTTGAGAGATCCACTTGAGAAGGTTAGCAACTCGCTTCGACGAGCAGTGAGTATCAACAGAAGCAAAGAGACTGATCTAAGGACAACCATGAATACGATTCAACGTGAACGGAGGAGAAGTTTTAATACATGGTCTCTGAAACAAGAAAAGTTTCTTCGAGCGAAGCAGAATCTTGTTCCAGCGATGCTTTTTGATCAATCGTCTCAAGCGCAAAGCACAAGACATACCGACGTACAGGAAGAGGAGAATAAACAACGGAAAAGGCGCGTCACCTTAGTGAAAGCTGTTTCTCCAGTGACTTTAGCAGCCGCTCATAGAAATAGGTCTCCCGAGGTCAACTACCCACTTAAACCACCAGAGATCGCATCGGAACAAAGGAAAGGCTCCAAGCGAAAGAAGAAGTCCAAATCACGAGTTCGAATTCTACCCCCGGTAATAACTTTGGCGAAAAGCAGTCAGTTCTTTCAAGAGAGCAAAAAACAGCGACGCATTAGCGAACATAGACAGGCGGACAAAGCCCGTGAAGCATTTGAAAATGTAGAGAAAGAGAAAAGAAGAGCTAGAAAGTTGAGTGACTTAGCCGCGTTTGGTTCTGTTGAAAAACAACAGTATGATTCATCATTAGCAAATCAATCGTACGTCAGAACTGTGACAGATGATGTTCAAGACGAATTTGTTCAGCATTCGATGCCTTATATCGCGGAGGAGAGAATGACCAGCCGACAAGGCAGTAAAGAAACGCAGATTCTAAAGGGCGAGACGAGAGATTTAACACATACAAGCGAAGGCTCTCGTTGTTCTACCTGCACAACAGAGAGAGACGAAGGTCACCAAAGAACTAAAGGACAGTGGAAGAAACTGCGAGACTCGCTTGGAACAATCAGTGAAAAAAAGAAGAAAACTAACATCAATAAATTCACCATGATGGAACTGACCAAGTTGTTTGAGGAAATGCGCGAGTGTAGGTATCTTCGTGTTGGAAATCACTCAGGATTTACAGCGGAACAAGCCAATCAAACTACCAACACTTGCAAATGTTTCGCATGCGCTATTAAAGACAAGACCAAACTCAAAAATCACTTAAGTTCTCCAGAATAATTTGAACTAAATGCAAGACTTTTATGCTGTTTTCAGATTTTAGTTTTTTTTTCGTGAAGGAGCTGAGTGGAGTTATGTCTCTTATAAGTTTTTTTGGCCAGTTTATTTAAACGCAGAACTTTAATATCAGAACGTTTCCTTAGAGATGACCGCAATTTAATCTTCCTCTAAAAAATGCTTGAGTTTGAAAAAGCCAAACAAGATAGCTAGAAAATATACGAAGCACATAATAAACGAATGTTGTTTGCCGTGTCCATCGTTCAAATATGTACACACATACCGCATTCCTTAGCAGACACTCTTTTTCTTAGGCCTGTCAAGGGAATTTGAAAACGGAGGTTTCACTCTGAAAACGCCTCAAATGTTCTCCATCCACACTACGCCGGAGGAACTTGAAAACGGAGATTTCACTCTGACAATGCATCAAATGTTTTCCGTCCACACCACGCCGGGGCAGGGTACTATGATGATTATGGTGACGTCATCGTTTACGAAAAGCTTCGCTTTCAAAATGTTTTACGTCCACACTAAAGCGCAGGCCGGCGTTTTCCAATTCCTCCGGTTTGAAGAACGTTTTCGAAAAGCTCCGTTTTCGTGACGGATTAGTGTGGACGGAAGGCCGGCTAACCGGAGAAATTAAGCTAGGTTTACAAATTCCTCCAGCGTCCGTCAGTTTCAGCAGGTCACCTTCCCCGTTGTTTTCTGCTTTGACAGAAACCTTTGGGACCTATTTTTCGCTGCGGGTAGTTTTAAAATTCTTTTAGTTTCGAGTGTCCTTAGCGCGGAAGAGGAACTCATCAGTGGTGATGCAGTTCAATTGATCTCAGTCAGACTGTAACATATTCCGATCCCATGTGTTATGTCAAAAGGTTGAAAATAATTCTTAAAAATAACACTTGGTTTTGATTTAGGACGAGGAAGAGAATGAATCAAACCCTTCCCAGATGCTAGGAATATTCCAACCATCCGGACATGGAACTTGTTATTTTAGAAATGGAGCTGTCAGGTATTAAAAGATATTTTTGTTAAGGTGGTGAACTATTCGACCAACTGTTTTGCTTAAAACCTTCGATGTGCCCCCTCCTTTTGTAAAAAATATTCCTTCCATGGTGGTCGTTTTGTGCGAATATATTCATTATTTCATTGCAGTTTGATGGCAGAATATAAAATAGCAACAGGATGCATGTAGCAATAATTATAAAGAGAAAAGGAAAAAGAGAGCCATGAGGATAATCTAACAATCTTTATTTTAATCCTCATAATTAAATAAAAGGATTGGAGGAGGGTTTTTTCCTTTCGTTGGCCGTTTAGCGCATTCGCCATTTCCACATCCCCCATAATACACCTTGTTTGCCCCCAAAAAGTTTGCATAAGCATTGTCTTCAGTTTCTCTTGGGACGACTGTGATATCCAGGAGAAATGGGAAACAAAGGTTATGCAGAATTTTGGAGGGCAAACAATGTGTATTATGGGGGATGTGGCAATGGCGAATGGATTTTTGTTCCATCTCTTATCTTTAACTAACATGCTTCTCTCTGAATGTTGTTTCTCTCTCTTTCTCTTCTTCGTTAGACTCGTTTTAAATCCATTTTTCGGAGTTCTTCTGGATAAAAACGGCGCTAAGAAAAAGAAGTGGCTCTGGCATAATTTGAAAGAGCACGTGCACGCTCCGCCCTTTCAACCAATCACGTTCATGATTACCAAACAGCTGTCAATCAGATGTTTGTCTCAGGTAAGTCGTGACTTTAAATGTTTTCTTACGAGGACCATACTTTCGATACATAAAGTATTTTTCTGTGAAATTTGAGGTATAAAACTCTGTTGAAACGTCATTCTAAGCAATGTTTACCCTCGTTTAGGTTTGTAAAGTGGTGGAATCGCGAAAATCTTCTCCCTACCTTCAAAGTTTTCGACAATTTAAGCTAATTTTGGAGCTAATGTGTGGCGTCTTTCCATTTACACAGTACTAACTATTCCCTGTTTTTGTTATTTCAGAATAAAACTGTTCTCACTTTTAATCACGGCAAACATACGGCCCGGTTCAATGTTGGAGCAAAACTTAAGGTATGGATTCATTTGAAATGTTGAAAATTGTGCACTGAATTGGAGGTGTCTTCTCGCACGTCAAGATAGTAGATACAACGGGATATTAAGAAAATATATCAGGATTCCTATGTTGCCTGGTATAGATAGCCAGCAGGCCTCGGATTTTGTTCATTAATTGACCTCGGTTGTTTTTAAGCCTCACCTTTTAATGAAACGAAGTTTAGCGAGCCCTAGCTTGCGTAGCAAGCGTTTCCGTGGGGTTTGGGAGCAAAGAAACACCGAGGAACGGGATTTTCGCCATTTTTCGCGCTGTAATTCTTTGCTCCCGAACTCCACAGAAACGCTTGCTACGCAGGCTAAGCGAGCCCGAATATTAGGTTTGTCAGTTGGGATTTCGTCAAACGTGTCAGAGGAGTATTGGGAATATTATTATTATTATTTTCTCTTTAGTGTTTTTCTATCTTAGAAAACTATTAGTTTCAGGTTTCCTTCAATTAAAAGGTAATAAAATAACTCCAAATACCGTCACTAAGCTCCTTTAAGGCGTCAACTGTGCTTGCTATGGCAGCATAGTTAGTAGAGGAGACTACGACTAGGATATCCAAAATGGCTTCGAAATCTTCCCCGAAGAGGTAGAGATCGTTCGTAGTGTCCGCCATCGTGTTTTGAGTGTGCAGGGTCAGTGTCACGTGACGGGTCAGTTCAACATCAGAGCGCCGCTATTGTTTTGGTCCTTTGAAGTTCGCCGAGTTTCTAACCAGTCTCCTCTACTAACTATGATGGCAGCGACTAAGGTGTGAGTTGTAATCTTGTCACAATGGATTTATTTGGTTTTTTTTCGTTTTTTTTTTTCAGGCTGTCATGAAAGCAAAGNGGGTCACTACCCCTACCTTTATGGTTTACCTTGTTGAAATTCCCTTACAGAGGAAGCAAGCATTCCTGGAGAGATTTTATGAAAACAAAAGAAGATTTCTTTTGCTGCTCCCAGATGGCACTGGAAGCTGCTAGTATCCTTTTGTGAAACTTTAAGGGTGGCAATTTTCTGTTTAATGTGAAACTCAAGTGTACAGTTGGCCAGACAAGTATATCAGATACCAAGTCTTACAAAATGCTCTTGGATTTTGTGGCTGTCTTTATGTTCATTTGAAACTCGAGAAATTCAGGGATGGAAACAGGAAATCAGGGGGAGGGGTCTTAGCAATTGGCATGAAAAGCCGGAGGGGGAGCAGGCGTACCCCTCCCCTGTACCTGCTTTTGGAAAAATATTTAAAAGTCAAGGTTCACCGAGATGCTATTGCTTTCAACTGAGTAACTGTAAGGCTTTGAATGTAAGATCTAAAACAACACAGACAATAGAAGGGGGCTGTGATTCTCTTAGCTTGTCAAAATCTGGTTGAGAACTTTAAGCAGAGGGGAGGGGTGTTAATAGTCAGAGGTGTACACCCTGAAAGTTACATGGTTTGAAAAAGTATGTTGCATAGGGGTTTCACTCAGCATTGCCTTTCATACAGCCTTGGTGTCCATTCATCACATGGATTCTTTCTTAACTTCATATCTCAGTTACCCAAGCGGTAACATTGCTGTGATGATAACTGCTACCGAAAAGGGAAAGTTTACATACATAGTATTTGATGTAAGTATACGTATTTATCTCGGTCACTGGGTGCAGAAGCGGTAAAGAACAAAGTTTTAGTTTTGTTACTCGAGTTTCGTTGCATAGCAACGAATTTGGAACGAGCAATGAGCCCGCAGTTTTAGTAGCGGCCGGAAAATTTCGCGCGTCAACGAAGACACGTGACACGCATGTCGATGACTCAACCACCATCAACGGTGGCAAAAGAGAGAGAGAGCGAGCCCGGGAACGAGGTTGGTCGATGACTCCGCACTCTTGGAAGTAAGAAGGGGATAATACAAGGTGTAAACGAAAGGGGAAAGCAACAAAGACTTAGAGGTCGCTAGGAAAACCGATGTTATTGGCAAAATTCCTTTAGCGAAAAGTGGCCGATCATTCGGTTTCAAGCTTCTTTAAGTTTTTGTTTTTCTTGAGTTTCTAAGCAGTCCAAAATATATTCTTTAGCGCTTCCTTGTCACGTAATTTGTCATTCAACAAACCTTCTTTCGTGCAATAAATTTAATAACTGTTTTCAAGGGAAATCTACCAATCAAAATAGACTTATAAAAACCGTACTTCCTGTCTTCCAAACCTCAGCGTTTAAGCAAATTGCATTGTCTAAACGAAGTGTCACAGCGCCTTGTATTGGTATGCAAAAACACTTTTCTTTGTTCATGTTTACGATTAGTGTAATTTTCCTGAATATCTGTCTGTGTACGTGAGTACAAAAAATTAATATTTTGCTGTGGACAAATGGAAAATAACACTATTAATTTAATTTCAGAAATCCCGAAAATCATTGTTAAACTTTAATAGGAAAATCCTTTTGTTTTAGCTATCGGCGCGATTATCGGCTCTAAGTTGGGTTGTACTTTTTAATCTTCCATAGTTTTAGTTTTAATTCTCCTGAGTGACAGGAAAATGTTAAGAAAAGACCACTGTTTGCTCAGCACCAGCTATACAAATACGAAAACTGATCTGAGATGACAAATTTTAATAAAAAGCTTTAATTCCTAAGTCGCTTAATCGCGGCTCTGATCGCATAGTTTAGGAAACTTAATCAACTTGTTAGTTCTGTACTGAACAGTGGTGAAAAACGATATTTGAAAACACTTGGTCTAACAAAGGAGATATGTGACATTTGCAGTGTCTGAAAGAAACAGGAAAAAATATGAACAACGAGTTGAGAGATCCACTTGAGAAGGTTAGCAACTCGGTTCGCCGAGCAATGAGTATCAACAGAAGCAGAGAGACTGATCTAAGAACTACGATGAACACGATACAACGTGAACGGAGGAGAAGTTTCAATACATGGTCTCTGAAACAAGAAAAGTTTCTTCGAGCGAAGCAGAATCTTGTTCCAGCGATGCTTTTTGATCAATCGTCTCAAGCGCAAAGCACAAGACATACCGACGCACAGGAAGAGGAGAATAAACAACGAAAAAGGCGCGTCACCTTAGTGAAAGCTGTTTCTCCAGTGACTTTAGCAGCCGCTCATAGAAATAGGTCTCCCGAGGTCAACTACCCACTTAAATTACCAGAGATCGCATCGGAACAAAAGAAAGGCTCCAAGCGAAAGAAGAAGTCCAAATCACGAGTTCTACCCCCGGTAATAACTTTGGCGAATAGCAGTCAGTTCTTTCAAGAGAGCAAAAAACAGCGACGCATTAGCGAACATAGACAGGCGGACAGAGCCCGTGAAACGTTTGAAATAATAGAGAAAGAGAGAAGAAGATCTAGAAAGTTGAGTGACTTGGCTGCGTTTGGTTCTGTTGAAAAACAACAGTATGATTCATCATTAGCAAATCGATCGTACGTTAGAACTGTGGCAGATGATGTTCAAGACGAATTTGTTCAGCATTCGATGCCTGATATCGCGGAAGAGAGAGTGACCAGCCGACAAGGCAGTAAAGAAACACAGATTCTAAACGGCGACAGGAGAGATTTAACACATACAAGCGAAGACTCTCGTTGTTCTACCAGCACAACAGAGAGAGACGAGGGTCACCAAAGAGCTAAAGGACAGTGGAAGAAACTGCGAGACTCGCTTGGAACAATCAGTGAAAAAAAGAAGAAAACTGACATCAATAAATTCTCCATGATGGAACTGACCAAGTTGTTCGAGGAAATACGCGAGTGTAGATATCTTCGCGTTGGAAATCATTCAAGATTCACAGCGGAACAGACCAGTCAAAATAGCAACACTTGCAAATGTTTAGCATGCGCTATTAAGGACAAGGCCAAACTCAAAAATCACTTAAGCGCTCCAGAGTAATGGGGACTAAACGCAAACCTTTTATGTTGTATTCAGATTTTAGTTTTTTTTTTTCGTGAAGGAGCTGAGTGGTGTAATGTCTCGTACAAGTTTTTTGTGCAGTTTATTTAAACGCAGAACTTTAATATCACAACGTTTCCTAAGCGATGACCGCAATTTAATCTCTCTCTGCAAAATGCTTGAGTTTTAAAGCCAAACAAGATAGCTAGAGAATATACGAAGCGCATAATAAACGAATGTTGTTCGCTGTTGCCATCGTTCAAGTGTGTACACACGTATTGCATTCCTTAACAGCGACCCTTTTTCTTAGGCCCCGTCCACACTAACCCAGAGGAATTTAAAAACGGAGGTTTCACTCTGAAAATGCATCAAATGTTTTCCGTCCACACTACGTAGGGGCTGGGTAATATGATGATTATGGTGACGTCATCGTTTACGAAAAGCTTCGCTTTCAAAATGTTTTCCGTCCACACTAAAATGGAAGCTGGCGTTTTCAAATTCCTCCGGTTTGAAGACCGTTTTCGAAAAGCTCCGTTTTTGGCGTGACGGATTTATGTGGACGGAAGGCCGCCTAATCGGTTAAGCTAAGTTTTCAAATTCCTCGTAGTGCGTCAGTTGCAGAAGGTCACCTTCCCCGTTGTTTTCTGCATTGACAGAAACCTTTGGGACCTATTTGTCGCTGCGGGTAGTTTTAAAATTCTTTTAGTTTCGAGTGTCCTTAGCACGGAAGAGGAACTCATGGTGATCAGTACAGTTCAATTGATCTCAGTCAGACTGTAACATATTCCGATCCCATGTGATATGTGAAAAAGTTGAAAATAATTCTTAAAAATAACACTTGGTTTTGATTTAGGACGAGGAAGAGAATGAATCAAACCCTTCCCAGATGCTAGGAATATTCCAACCATCCGGACATGGAACTTGTTATTTTAGAAATGGAGCTGTCAGGTATTAAAAGATATTTTTGTTAAGGTGGTGAACTATTCGACCAACTGTTTTGCTTAAAACCTTCGATGTGCCCCCTCCTTTTGTAAAAAATATTCCTTCCATGGTGGTCGTTTTGTGCGAATATATTCATTATTTCATTGCAGTTTGATGGCAGAATATAAAATAGCAACAGGATGCATGTAGCAATAATTATAAAGAGAAAAGGAAAAAGAGAGCCATGAGGATAATCTAACAATCTTTATTTTAATCCTCATAATTAAATAAAAGGATTGGAGGAGGGTTTTTTCCTTTCGTTGGCCGTTTAGCGCATTCGCCATTTCCACATCCCCCATAATACACCTTGTTTGCCCCCAAAAAGTTTGCATAAGCATTGTCTTCAGTTTCTCTTGGGACGACTGTGATATCCAGGAGAAATGGGAAACAAAGGTTATGCAGAATTTTGGAGGGCAAACAATGTGTATTATGGGGGATGTGGCAATGGCGAATGGATTTTTGTTCCATCTCTTATCTTTAACTAACATGCTTCTCTCTGAATGTTGTTTCTCTCTCTTTCTCTTCTTCGTTAGACTCGTTTTAAATCCATTTTTCGGAGTTCTTCTGGATAAAAACGGCGCTAAGAAAAAGAAGTGGCTCTGGCATAATTTGAAAGAGCACGTGCACGCTCCGCCCTTTCAACCAATCACGTTCATGATTACCAAACAGCTGTCAATCAGATGTTTGTCTCAGGTAAGTCGTGACTTTAAATGTTTTCTTACGAGGACCATACTTTCGATACATAAAGTATTTTTCTGTGAAATTTGAGGTATAAAACTCTGTTGAAACGTCATTCTAAGCAATGTTTACCCTCGTTTAGGTTTGTAAAGTGGTGGAATCGCGAAAATCTTCTCCCTACCTTCAAAGTTTTCGACAATTTAAGCTAATTTTGGAGCTAATGTGTGGCGTCTTTCCATTTACACAGTACTAACTATTCCCTGTTTTTGTTATTTCAGAATAAAACTGTTCTCACTTTTAATCACGGCAAACATACGGCCCGGTTCAATGTTGGAGCAAAACTTAAGGTATGGATTCATTTGAAATGTTGAAAATTGTGCACTGAATTGGAGGTGTCTTCTCGCACGTCAAGATAGTAGATACAACGGGATATTAAGAAAATATATCAGGATTCCTATGTTGCCTGGTATAGATAGCCAGCAGGCCTCGGATTTTGTTCATTAATTGACCTCGGTTGTTTTTAAGCCTCACCTTTTAATGAAACGAAGTTTAGCGAGCCCTAGCTTGCGTAGCAAGCGTTTCCGTGGGGTTTGGGAGCAAAGAAACACCGAGGAACGGGATTTTCGCCATTTTTCGCGCTGTAATTCTTTGCTCCCGAACTCCACAGAAACGCTTGCTACGCAGGCTAAGCGAGCCCGAATATTAGGTTTGTCAGTTGGGATTTCGTCAAACGTGTCAGAGGAGTATTGGGAATATTATTATTATTATTTTCTCTTTAGTGTTTTTCTATCTTAGAAAACTATTAGTTTCAGGTTTCCTTCAATTAAAAGGTAATAAAATAACTCCAAATACCGTCACTAAGCTCCTTTAAGGCGTCAACTGTGCTTGCTATGGCAGCATAGTTAGTAGAGGAGACTACGACTAGGATATCCAAAATGGCTTCGAAATCTTCCCCGAAGAGGTAGAGATCGTTCGTAGTGTCCGCCATCGTGTTTTGAGTGTGCAGGGTCAGTGTCACGTGACGGGTCAGTTCAACATCAGAGCGCCGCTATTGTTTTGGTCCTTTGAAGTTCGCCGAGTTTCTAACCAGTCTCCTCTACTAACTATGATGGCAGCGACTAAGGTGTGAGTTGTAATCTTGTCACAATGGATTTATTTGGTTTTTTTTCGTTTTTTTTTTTCAGGCTGTCATGAAAGCAAAG